CAGCGGCTGTAGGGGTCGACGTCGGTGCCCCAAAGCTCGGCCCTTCTCTGCGAGCCTTGGCAGGATTTGAAGAGGGAGCTGCCTGCTCAGCAGTTGAGGCATTCAATCCTGGTGCCTCTAAATTCGGCTCCACCCGCGCCTCGGAAGCAACTAGCACAGGCCCCGCCTACACAAAGCACGAAAATTCTTCAAGTTATTAAACAAGAAAATCACACAATGTGGAAGAAAAGCCATAAGAAGAGAGATACAAACCTGCGCCTCACGAGCGACCTCCTCTACGACCACTTTGGACGACCCCTCAGGCGGAGGACTCCCCGTCAGGTTGACCGAATCGGCATCGGCGGCCTTCGAGGTCACCTCTTCAGCATCATGAGAGGTGGAGGTCCCCCCAACCTCCTTCTCTCCCCTCTTTCTTTTTCTGCGGGTTTCGAAGGGAGGGCCAATTTGTGAGTCTACTATGTGCAAAACTCATCATCACATTGGGCTTGCCTTCATGGTGCCATATGTAGTTCAAATCAGATGGTCTCTGTCTTGTCGCATTGGGCACAAGATTTATGGCGTTAGGTGTGAGGAAAGAGAAAAGTCTCTAGCTTAGTCTCGTCGTGTGTGGTTTGAATGAACTTAATTAGGCGTAAGGAGAGAGACTCGTCTTTGCCCAAATTGGTGTCAAGCGCCAAAGGGGTGGCATCAGCCATGAGGAGAGAGATCCATAGGGGACTTGGCTATTGACCTAACAGGTGTAAAAAGGTTACTTGGTTCAACAGAATCAAGTCACTTAGATTAGTCATCTTGGTATAAGAGATCTTCGTAGGTGAATTCATGACGGTGCATTAGTGTGATGTGCATGCATATGATGTGGTATGTTTTTGGTGTTGCTCATATGCTTTGATGCTTACCTTATTGAATGACATGGTTATAGTGATATCCTTGAGTTGTTTACCTTTCAAACTTGTTGATGTTGTGATTGAGTTGTTGTCGTGATGTAGACCATGAGGTGCTTTATTATTGGTTTACTTGCTGGTGCTTATAGTATAGTTGCATTACTTCTATATTGTTATATGCTTATTCTTTTGAAAATCTAGCTTAGTACCTTTTCATGTTTCTTGGTGGTTAGACTACAATAATCATGTTTATATATGGAATTAGATGGATAGATTTGAGAAGTTGACAGTTTTGCAGGCCATGTTGGATAGCGATCTAACTAGAGGCTACTTTTGTATAGATGAATTGTAGATTTGTTTGACCAACAATTTAGGATTTTTATTTCACAGTCATGGAAAATATATATATAATATGACACTTGTATCTAGATTATGTGCATATATAAATCCTAGACATTTTAGTTGTTTTTTACTACTAAATGTTGAGTCGTTAAATATAAAGATCATAATAGATCATTACAATTTAACTTATAATTTACAAATATAGATAAATTAGAGAACTTAATTGTTATGCATTATACTTAATTTTTATGAAGATATAGTTAGTTTGAGCTATTGGTTAGTGTTTCTAAATTATATTGCACAATATTATGTAGGCTTTATCCACTAAATTTATAACGTTTTTTTGTCTTTCTTGATTTCTTACTTGTTTTTATTTTTTTTCTTAATTATTTCATTATTTCTTGATTTTTTTTCTTTTCTTTCTTAATAATAATAGACATTGTTGTAATAGTCAAATATGGCAATAGACGTTGTTGTGATAATCGATTCTAACGATTAATCAAATATTAAATTTGTGTTGTCACTAATTAATAAAATTTCCCTTTTGTCTTAAAAAAATTATTATGTCACCAATTGACCATGATCATGCCGAATCACTCGCTCTGTGTAGACACACTCCTGAATTTTTTTTCCCCAAAGGACGTTCAAGAAACATGCCACTTTCCATTTTAAACATGCTGATGAAGATTTTAAGGTCCACCTTCCCCACAAACGATATATCCAATTGGTTAGAATCATGCCACATTTCGAATAAGAAAACACAAATAATGTGGATGATGCAGCAACAACAAGCTTCTACATAATTGATAGATAACCGAATTTCTAGAAGTTGTTCCCAGATTTTCAATTTTTTAACCATAAATATAAATAAATAAAAAAATTTGTTAACTTTAGTGATCATTATGTTTTGAAAGGAATTAGTTTCTAACTATTGGCGGACATACACTTGATTGAATATATATGCATAAACACTTGTGCTAATTCTGTGGAGTTCTCAGGCAAACCCTTCCAAAAGGTAAGAATAAGCAAGAAGAAATGGAAGCAGAAAAAAGCTTCAACTATGCCATGCAACTGGTGAACTCTAGTGTGCTATCCATGGCCATGCACTCAGCCATAGAGCTTGGCATTTTCGACATCATGGGCAAAGCAGGTGTAGATGCCAAACTATCTGCCAAGGACATTGTAGCTCAACTTCCATGCAAGAATTCAGAAGCAGTCACAATGTTGGATCGTATCCTAAGGCTTTTAGCAAGTCACTCCATCATTGATTGCACAGTAGTTGATGATCAACAGGGTCCTCCTCCACATTTGCAACGCCTCTATGGCATGAACACTGTGTCCAAATACTTTGCTTGCATTGATGCTGCTGGCTCACTAGGTCCTTTGATGGTGTTGACTCAGGACAAGGCCATCCTTCAAAGTTGGTCAGTTTTTCTATTGTTCTTGTAACTCTATTGTTGCGAGCCAAGAGAAATTATTATATGATCCAGAACTACCTTAATTTGTCTATTGTTTCAGTGAATATGTAGGTGACATGTAACTGAATTTTATTTACTCTTTATCATACCAAATAATTTTTCCTAACTAAAATATCGACAGCCTTGTCTTTGTCTATTGTCCAGTCACTTTGCATGAAAAGATATCTGAGTGCCTCTATTGCCTAGCTAGTCACATTTTAGATCATTATTATATAGTCAAGTTTTTTTTTTTAAATTGTGACAATTAATATAAGAGTTTAAAGATAACGTAAAATAGTGTAAAATATATAGTTTTAGAGTTAACTAATAAGATATTATAGTTTATATGATTTTTTATTTATTTGATATAAAAGTCAGCAACACATCATAGATCATAATCTGTAATTGGATAATACTATAAAATTGTGCATATCGCCTATTTTCTCTTAATACTATAGTGCTTAATTTGTAGAATATATTATAAAAAATCATTAACTATTTCGTAATAATTTGCTTATATAAAAATCTTTTCTCCATATAAATTTATTTGCTAAATCGGAAGTTTGTTTATCCATAATTCAAAGGTACCAAGGGAAAGATGCAATTCTGGAAGGAGGTATTCCATTCAACAGGGTCCATGGCAAACACTTGTTTGAGTATTCTTACTCGAACTCAAGCTTCAATCAGCTCTTCATGGCTGCAATGACCAACCGTGCGACTTTAATTATGAAAAAGATTGTTGAATCCTACAAAGGGTTTGAGAACACCAAAAGGCTGGTGGACGTTGGAGGTGGCCTTGGGGTCACTCTTAACATAATCACTTCTAAATACCCTCACATTAAGGGCATCAATTTTGACTTGCCTCATGTCATAGAACATGCCTCTCCCTACCCTGGTATGTTTACGTCTTGAGTTTATTTAGATACATAAGTTAGAAAAGTTTTTAAGAATTATTCTACTGAAAATAAAAAGGGTTATTTTCAATAGAAAAAAAGAAAGAAAAAGAAGACATTTCTAAGCTCATATTCAAATCTTCCTAGATGTTTTAGTGTGAAAGCAAACCGAAAGAAAAAAAGTGTCGAGGGCCAATAATCCAATAAGAATGTTCGGTTTATAAATTCAGTAACCACAATAGTCATCAAAATCTATATTTTATTATTAGCGATGCAAAATAAAACTTTGATGTGATCCTTTAGATATTTTTAGTATTATTATATAATTAAAATTGAAATTTTATCTCCATAATATGAAGAATCTACACTTAAAATACGCAAGAAATTCCATATCTAAAATTGTATGCAACTATGTATTGTACCAAAATTATGTATTTTTAATTGATTGCAGGTGTGGAGCATGTGGGAGGAGATATGTTTGAGAGTGTGCCAGAAGGAGATGCCATTTTGATGATGGTGGGAATTAAGTGTGTTGCGATTTTATTTATTTATTTATTTTTAAATACATGTGAGAATCAAACTTGATATCAAGGATTTTATATCACTCACACACCAGGTCAATCAACTAAACTAGACTCTTAATTTTACGAATCTATATCCTTTATCACATCGTGCATGATTCTCACTAATTTATATATATGTATTCTGATTAATAAACTTTGTAGTGTGTGCTTCATGATTGGAGTGATGAGTGGTGCTTGAAGGTGTTGAAGAACTGCTATGGTGCAATTCCTAAAGATGGGAAGGTGATTGTTGTGGATGGAGTTCTTCCATTTGAGCCCAAGACAACAGGTGAAGTGAAGAGCATTTCCCAATTCGATGTTCTAATGATGACTACAAATCCAGGAGGGAAGGAGCGAAGTGAAGAGGAATTCATGGCATTGGCAAAAGGAGGTGGATTCAGTGGCATTAGATATACATGCTCTGTCTGTGATGTTTGGATTATGGAATTCTTCAAGTAGATTTTATATGTCCCACCACCAGCTGAATAAAATTTAAAAGAAGGTAAAAGGTATAATAGAAATAAATAAATAATGATTTAATTATATTTGTAGTTTCTAAAATTTAGAATAGATTTATTTTTAATCCTTTAAATCTAAAATTCATATTTTCAATTCTTAAAGATAAATAGAAAAAATTGATTTAATAGTAGCATCACTTTGACAACTGACAAATTAAGTTGATGGTGTAAAGAAATTTTTTACTAAAGATAGATTAGTCAAATTTTCTCAACAAAAATTATTCATCAATAAAATTAATACATATTTCTAATTTATAGTAAAAATAAGATAACAAAGACATAATGAATTTTTTTTAATTGTATTTTTAGTATGAAATATTTATCAACTTTATGTAATTACTAATCATTTAAAAAAAAAAAACTTTACTTATCACTCTTAGTATCCCTCTTTCTCTTATATTTTGTATATATAAAATTTGAACTGCATTCTTGATTTAAACATGAAATCTAGTTTCTTTCGAACTAATTTTTTGTTTATAAAACAAGTAGTTTATAGGTTATTTTACATCACACAAGACAATGTCATGTTTACTATAAGCAAGTTTCGTTATAAGACATATTATATACAGTGACATATAAGAAGTGTCAATGTGTCATTATAAGTATAATATATATAATCATATCAATTTAACATGTAATTATACATAATTTTAATGTTAATTTTGAATGAAATTTAATAACATATTTTGTCTCACTATAATTTATATCTACAATTTTTAATAATATATTAACATATGTATTATGTGGACAAAAATAATTTTTAGTAATAAATATTATATCATGATAAAATTATTTTAGTGCTTTTGGAATATTATTGTGAGACTAAAATGTTTTTTAAAAGCACACGGTACGCTTAAGATAGCTAAAGATGTTAATTGTTCCTCTTTTCTTTTTTACTGCTTTAATTGTTCATTTTTAAACATATGTTTTAGCACAAACTCTGTCAATCAAGGTTTGATAAATGAGATATCTTACCAAACATTTTTAACGAAGGGAAAACTTAAATACAGTTTTAATTTTTTTAATTCTGTTTTCCAATTAAAAATAAACTTTAATTTTAATAATTAAAATTCATCAATCAACTTAAAAAAACTATTCAAAATACTTATAAAATTAAAAAAAAAACTTATTTTTCAAAAAAATATTTACAATTTTAAGCAATTGTTTCAAACACATAATTTTTTTTTTCACAGATAGCTTTTTTTTTAAAAAAAAAAAGCTAAAATGAAGATTATAATCTCTCCCAAACATCTTTTTATCTCTAATTATAATACTTATCACACGGAGTATGAGATTGAAATTTCACTTTTAAATAAAAAATTGTATTTAAATTTTATCCTTTCAACCAACATGTGTACTGTGTACAATGAACCTCTTTGCAATTGTTTTTCTCTTGTATGCAACTTGTTCTAATTACTATTTGTTGGAGTTTAGTCTATGATAATACAACCAATTAGCGTCTTCTTTAAGCTAACAGACAGACATATGTAGAAGCAATTAGTTAGCTTCTTTGTTTTTGTTTTTGTTTTTAGTAACTGACAATTTTTCGTTAGTAAATAGTTAAGTTGGTAGGTGGTAGGTCGAAGCTTTTATAAAAAAATCCTCTCAATTTTTTTTCTAATCATTTTTCTATTATTATCATTTTAAAAACATAAATAATACACTTTATTATAAATATATTACGGTTATTACATACAAATAATTAATATCTTAAATAAAATTTCGAATATGACTATTGTAAATGAATAAAACATAATTAAAAAAAATCTTATTAAAAGTGACTAACGAGATATCTCGTCTAAAAAAAAATTCATTTCATTTATTCGTCTAAAATCACAATAATAAAAAAAATTGTACTCTATACTAAATGTCAATAATTGCACAATAGTAAATACTTTTCATTTAAATAAAAAAAACATTTGATTGATGATTGAGTGATTCCCTATGAAATTAGTTAGACATAATTAATTACTAACAGACAATGAATTATAGGTACTCATAACTTCAGCGGTAGGAGTTGATCTACGTTTAAGCAAAGTCAGAAGTTCGAATTCTATATTGTATATGCAGTCGCGTTAAATCTTAAGACCACTATCCTACTTTCTTTTAAGATGTCTCCAACATAATGAGGAAATTAATCACTACTATCAATCCTGAATACTCCATAGATAAAAAAAAAATAATGTATACTGAAAATGAAGGGGTATGTCATGTATAGAAATTAAAGACATTTTAACACAAACAAAACATAAAAATATGCCGTCTCTAGAAGAAACACACAATGGCCCACAGCTGGCAGCGTTCTCCGGCATAGAAGCTTCAACTAAGGAAAGCACATTTAAGAAATTAAAGATTATATTTTTCTTCTCCAATTATATATTGGTTGGAGTCTTATTTAATTCATTGATAGGCAATTTAACAATGAAAAATGATCATTTTTTAATGTGAATTAATAAATGACGAGCCTCAATAAATATATTATGCTAACAAATTGATTATAAAAAAATAAATTAAAGAAATCTAGAAAAACCGAATCTTAATTGTAGTGACATCCCATCAAGTTTCTATATACTTTACAATTAGACTAAACAACATAAAACCTAAATCTAATTACCTAAGATTAACATACAAATAGTCATTAAATATATATGCAACAATATATATATGCAACAATATATATATATATATATATTAAATTTAAATTATCGACCAAGCAAGTACTACAAACGAACTATATCAAAGTAACCCAACACAACCTTATCACCTTTTAAAATGGCTTTTAAAAAGTTTTCATCCTCCAACCTATTGATGTCCTACTCTCATAACAAGTGTGATCATCACAATCTAAACACAAGGATAAGTATGGATTCAAAAGAAATAACATAATATAAAAATATTAAACTAACTATACAACAACTTCAACATACAACATACACTTACAACTCAACAACATATCCAACTTGATGCATAAACCACACAACTTACTAGCATACCAACTTAGTATATCCATAATATAACTTTAAATACAATATGTGATCAACATATAATAACTCACAATACAACTATTTAGCATCACAACAACTTAAACAATATTACAACATAGCAACACATATCAATTTTCAACGCATAAATTTCACAACATATTAACGTAGCAACAAGGCGTGTCATGATGCAACATAACAACACATATCAATTTTCAACACGTATAAACTTCACAATATATCAACATAGCAACAAGATGTGTCATCATGCATTTCATCTAAAAGATCTCTTACAATATAGGTGAGCAGTCTAAGCAACTTGATCTTACCAAACCAACTTAGCAACGTGATCTTTTTGCGCTTGTTAGATCAACAACAAATTTTGGATATCAATGCACAACATAACATAATTTCTCGAATTTCATCACTTAAATTATGAAAGTTCAGTATTCTTGCATGGGATAGGATAGCTTCAGTGTGAGCCTACTACGACCTTAGCAAGCATAACTAAGCTTATATGGAATTAATATGTCGACTACTCTCCAAATACTATGCCTTTTCTAGTACTTAGTTTGAGATTTTGGCTCTTGATCTCGTACCTTACTTGGTTGGTCACTTCATACACATATATATCAACCTTGCCCCCATATGGTTCTACATTGGTCACTTATAATCAATATGCATGGCTCAACCTAACTCCCATACTATATCAATTAAGGACCCAGAGGAGACTCTTAATACTTCACTTCAAGAGACAACTACTTAAAAAGAATTTTCAATAATTGAGCTTATATATAGCATCACAACACCATATCCTCACAATGAGATATTCATCATTTTAAAGCAACACATTTTCTCTAGTCCTAAGTCAATCAACACAATTCAACTACTTGCTTTAAGCATTCACAACACAACTACCTTCAACACTACACTTCATACAACTTTACTATAGTTCAACTTCCATTCATAATCAACTTACAACTTTAAGCAACTTAAACATCATTATACATCATTCCAAATCAATGCATAATGAACTAGAATCGTATGTCAACATAAATAATGTGAATAATCCATTCTACTTGTCACATGTTCAAAACTTAATCAACTAAGAAAACAATATTTAACAACCCATGTCCAATGCCATTCTCCCAACACCCAACATCATTGAGGAAAAAATCCTCTGGTTCACAAATGTTTGACTCCGATCCATCAATGTCTAATGTAAATTAGGTAGAAAGCCCTCGTACCAATCACTCTTGGGATAATTAGATCTGCACTCGACCTTATTCAAGTAAAGAGTCTTTACCTTACTCATGTCCGACGTCACAAAACCTAGGCCCGATGTCATCCAAGCAAAAAGCTATTTCATTGATCATGGCTTGCGTCACTCAACTAAGGTCTAACATTACCAAGTCAAAAAGTTCACAAGTAAATCATGCTCGACACCACAATCCACATCCAACGTTGACAAGTCAGAGATCTCTCAATTGACTAAAGCCTGATGCTACCAATTCCATGCCTAACGGTAATGAGACAAAGATAAATTCTTACCTCACACCTAATGCCATGAAGTTGCGTTCAACACAATAATGATTTCTACACTTAATAGAATCATGAATTTGACTTAATCTATTTAAAAATTAGTCCAAATCAACATGTAACACCCAAAAATTATAACTACACATCATAAGCAACTCATATATATCATAGATTTCAACATGCAACTAACAATCACTCCAAATCATCAATTTGCTTCTCCCAAGAGAAAAACAACCATAACTCAAAACTCAACTTCAATTGCAATATATATGATTTACTAATTATATATCTTTATACAATATGAATATAACTCAAAACTCAACTTATTATCTATAGCTCATCTCTATATTAAAATCATATAAATAATGAGAATGAGAATATAATATTAGTTATTATTTAATTATATTTGAGAAATAATTAATTAGATATAAAATCT